CAACTCATTTCGTACGTTTCGCCCAAGGTATGGAAATAATGTTAAAATGCCCTTGAGGACTTCTTTTATGTCAAGGGTGGAAATGGTCCATTAATTAGGACCTTTAGAGAAACAGAACTAAAAAGTCCTTGACAAAACGAGTACGTCAGGTCAAACACACACCGTTTGCACCCCTTTATATGTCACCAGGGTGCAGAATTCAGTAGATAAGCCTCATGAGACGTCTGTCCGTAGACGATACATGCAGCAATGACTTTCCTACATCTCAACGGTCCGCATTCACAAGGCATATCTTCATCTACGGCTGTACCATTTTCCCGTTCGTGAAGCTATCAGAGGATAGCAATGTGTTCATGATTTCTCGATCATCTTGAAAAGCATGAACATTTCCTCAATGACATTTGATTCCTTGGCAAAGCCCATATTCACCTTTCAGATCATATCAGCTCCTCAAATTCTGTCTACTTGGGCAACCCCCCCCTCCCCCCCGCCCCTAATTGTCTCAAGAAACAGCTCCTTACTGTAAGGTGTACAGTGTGTGTGGCTTTGAGTACTCATGGTTGAGTGGTCCACCACTGAACATTAGGAACGATGTGTTCAAATGATTCGAGTCCAAAGGAGGATATATAGACGAATGGTTCTCGGATTTCCAAAATTTAAAAACAAAAAAAAATTCTTTAGGAAAGAAGAAGTATTGTTCAAAGGTTACAGGGAAAGAAAGATTAGATTTTTAAAATAAAAGGAAAGGAAAAAAACAAGCCAATCGTCTCATGACTTTCCTTATGAGATGTTTTAAATTGGCGCATTTTGCATTTATAGGTGTTTTTTTTATAAAAGCCACTACCGTTTTCAATAATAAGGTTATTCTTTGTGAATTTTATGTCAAACAAAGTCCTTTTGAATGAATTATATCTGTTCCAAATTACAACATTCTAGTACAAATTTTGTGTGAGATATTAAGAAAAAAAATGTAGTTTTTTTTATCTATCACCCTCTACTTTAATCATTTAATGAATAATTTTAAAGAATCTGAGAGCTTTTTTTTTGGAATTTCATTTGCTTTTATAGTAAAAGTACATTAAATCTATGTTAACAATGTAGATCCTAGTGTTCCTCCTTTAGAAATAGTAAATGGTTTATTAAATCTCAGATTCGTGGGTGGTTGGCGGATGCTCTGTTGTGGTTTGCTTCTTCTTTATTACTAAACATCTCTTGTTCTTATCTTTCCTCCTTCTTTCTTTTGTATGTTACTATTTAGTAAAACGTCTAGTCTTTGACCTAATTGTGTTGCAAGTGCCGTAAAACTCTTAATAAAAGTGGAAAAAGACTCAGACTCATTTTCTTTTTGTCCAGTAAGTCTTGACATCAAACAAAAAGGAATGAAGAAAAACTAGCTGAATTTGGAAAGTATGTGAAGGAACTCATATTTAAAGCTCAGTCCATGCCTGCTTCGATTTTCTAATATTGATAAGAATAAAAAGATTTGTGACTTTTAGAAACCATATTGTGAGAGTTATTTTGTTTTGTTGTAGACCGGTTCCCTTGAAAAACGTAAAATATTATTTATGTATTTCGGAAAAAAAATTTCTCGAGTTTCTCATTACAGGGCTGTCTCAGTGGTCACTCAGATTATGTCCACTCCATTGTTGCCAAGGACAAGGGGCAGGGCCTGGTCTCAGCCTCAGAGGATGGCACAGCCCGCATCTGGGGTAGGTGTCATCAGAACTACATGACAGGAATGTTTGTGGGTTCTTTATGGGTGTCTTGGTTTTGTTCTGTTCCATCTATTTTTTTGCTCTGAAACCGAGCAAGAAGTTTACAAGCTGTACCCATCCACAAGTGGAAATGAGACCTATAAGTTCTCAAAATGTGGCAAACTTTTCTCTGGCAAAATTGATACCTTTGGCCGCAGCAGAAGCAACGGATCATTTTAGCTTATTTCTTCTATTATTTCTAATATTTGAGAAATATTCTCATCTACAGATGCATTGGTCATCATCAGACATTGATGGACGAACTATAATATTACATAATACTTCTTGAACAGGGTTTCTTTTGTCACCCTCTTTTGTCAGTCGCAAGAAAACATTCACAAATAATCTGCAGTTCAAAGATTCTGAAATGTCTGTTTTCTCACAGTGCTTTTTTTTGGTTTTTCAACCTTTTTCCACCTGCAGCCCATTTAACCTATGTATCCTTATGCGTGACTCGATGTTTAGTTGCGCGTGGTCAGTCGTGAAGTGTGTATGCTTATGCGCAACGAGTCGCGCCCAAATTTTCAGTCGCGTGTGACAGAAGCGACAAAAGTGTCTCCTTATGCGTGACGCGAGCGACGTTACGTCGCGCGTTACTGGTAAATCCCCTGCGCGAATGGCAATTCACAACAGAGAGACAGTAGCAAGTTATTTTTTGCACTTAGCCTCTAGCCTTGCCTTCACTCACACACACACACACACACACACACACACACACACACACACACACACACACGCGCACCACTCTTGGCGTGTCAACCGGCACTCCTTGGCTGGATATTTTGACCATGGTGATACTCCTAACCTGCCACACCCCCAGTCTGCCGTACGCAATGAGACCCTCGATTGCTACATGGGCCGATCAGATGCGACAGTCATGTCGCGTGTGGGAGACAGTTTCTTTATAGTCTTACTTGATTGATTTTAGAGCGATGAGGACCAGAAGCGCCGTAGGAGACAAGCTTCTACAGTTTCTAACTCAGAGCTCATACCTTTTTTGTTTTCAGGTCCACCCATCTCAAAACACACAAATCCACACGCATCATGCTCATGCGCACACACTCACACGTACACACGTACACACGCTCACACACACATACACACACACACACACACACACACACACACACACACACACACACACACACAAAGATACATGGACGCATGCACACTTGCACCTGTACAAACTTGCTTACACTCAAGGACGCAACCATGTACGAATGCTTTATGACTCAATGATTCTAAATATTTGAGAATAGATTCTTCCCAGAACATTTATTTTCATTTTCTTTTTGTGGCTGTCCAATCATAACACAAGGAAAATTCAGCTTGTTTGCATTGTACCTACCTTTACAGATCTGAGATCAAAAGAAGCTGTTCACATAGTGAAACCCTTTGAAGATGAGGTGAGCTTTCAGGAAGTATAACGGAGCATTTTTATATTGATTAAATAAGAAGCATACAAATCAGAGAGTTGGTGGATGATGGTGTAAAGGGGGAAATACTGGTAGTAAATGGGGCTGGCGGTATAACAGGGGCGGTATAAAGTGGTTTTATTGTATTTTCTGATATTTGACTCTTTAACAAATATGTATCTTTGTCATCCTACTGGGGTGTACATCTTCAGCACCTCGGGTTTAAGGCAGGGCCATAGCCATCCACTTCGCAAATTAATATATTTCTATTGTGTTGATGACGGCTTAACTTTAAATGTTTATGACATAATTTTTGCTTCTCACTGGTTTTCGTTTTGTTCTCTTGTTTTTGGTATGGTTTGCTTTATTTTCGTGGGTGGTTGACAGGCGATCTCCTTTTCTCCTATCTAGCATTTATCATCCTCATCTCTTCTCCTTTTTTTGTCTGTTACTCTTTAGTAACACCTCTAATCTTTGGCACTTATATGTGAAGCATCATGGTGAAATCAGACGCTCGTCAAAATAATGGCATTTTTTTCCGTTGGATTGGCAGGTTTTTAAAATTGAATTAAAAAAAATAAATTTACTCCTTTATTGCCTATTTAAAAAAGTATCTATATGTGGATTTTACTGAAAAAAAAACATGATTAAAGAGACTAAAAATGTAGATTTTCAATTCCCAAGGACTCTCAAGCTCTGGAAGTTACCAAACTTTGGCAGCCATTCTCTTGATAATTCTATATTCTACCTCTGAAACCAGGCAGCATCAACATTCTTCAATTGGAAATATCTCGACTTCTCTTCAAGACCGATGGGTATTTTTTTCATTGAATGTAAGGCAAATGAACAAGCTGTAAGTTGATACCCTTGACTCCTTATGCCTCAAAACTGACGACCGCCTGATTCCACGTCGTGACACATATGACCTACTTGTGTCGCAATTGCTGTAAAACTCTTACCAAATCAAATTTAAAACTAAAGCTTTTATTTTCAGATGTGTTCCCGTCCGGACATGGGCAAGTGGCTGCAGTGTCTTGCCATCAACAATGAGGACTACTGGCTGGTGAGTGATCCAGGGGCCCTGGGCTATTGCCAAAAATCATTGTCATGTACACTTTGCTGCCCAAATAGTATGAGATTTTCATAAATTCAGATTCTGCTATTTATAGGTTTTGGGATCACCAGGGTTAACAGTATGAGGTCCATTGCATGGTACTCTGTAGATGTTAGAAATATTGCTTTCTTTTTTCATTGCTTGTGTTGTTTCTAAAAATCAGCTGTCTGGTATGGCTGCAGATTTTTCATCAATCTGTAATTTCGCCATTTAGAAAACAAGAAGCATGACTGTTAACAATCTCCCTCGAAAGAAGTCAGAGGTGCCTTCTTTGAAGCAGTTGATGCTCTTGTTATTTTTTTCCTCTCGTCCCCACCCCCTTTCTGATTCAATAGGTGGCTGGAGGGGGTCTCTTGTAGGTCTTACTCCTTTTCAGTCCATCCGTAGTTTCTGCCTACCTGTCTTGCTATTCCCTTTCCCCAAATGACTCTTGTTGAATCAATTTTCTCTCTTTAGCTCCTCCCCTTCTTCCTCATAGAAAAGAGCTCCATCTATGATTGCTTTTAACAGCCACATGTCACCGGCATTTTATGAATGCATGGTATTATATCAGGTATATCTTCTCTGCTAGTCCAATCTCTTAACTCAATTGCCTCCTACATGTATTGCAAAGCTAGTCTCACTTTTTCTCAGCACTAAATGGTTATTGTTGTTTCCATATTTTACAGGAGAGACAAAAAATGTAATAAATAGTAAAAACTAAATGCAAATGTACTGCTCTTTCTACATCTTGTAAAGAATACTTCTATGTATACAACTGTCATTATGAAAATTCTTTTATTTTTGAAAATTAATCATAAAGCAGACTTACATGTTTAGAGACTCTAAACTTGAAACTCTTAATGCGTAAATCAAACCCGCTGACACTCCCTGGGGCGGTGCTGCTGACTGAAGTGTCTTTAGGCCTTTCCCAAAGGGGGGACATTTCTCATTCTTACGCACAGTAGAATTGTAAATTGTAAATGGGCTGTTTCAACAATGTCACGCTCATAACTGCCTGAACTACAACAGGGAACTGCTGTTTTTTCTTTCCTAATCCTTACTATCGTCATTTTCCTCTACTTCTTTTGTATGTTTGTCACACCCTTGAGACCCGTTATTTCCGGGGTGCCTTGATAGTCGAAGCAGACTTTGTGCTGTTGAAGCTAGAGAGGTGAGTAGAGTAAACCTTACTCCCTTTAGAGACTTCTCTGTTGACATCCACCCCTTGGCGCTTATATGACCTTATGCAGTTGCGAGCGCGTAAAACCTCTACTATAGCCCCCCCCCCCCCCCCCCCCCGATTGCATAATAAATTTTAGCAAGAAGTTTTGTAAGCTCTACCCGCATAAGTCTGCTGCAGGTGGGTGTGGTTACCCACATGCGTTTAGAGCTTTCATTATTTTAACATGTGGCTTGTGAATCATTGACTTACTTGTTTACTGCACGAATCTTTCAGTTTATTTATTAGAAAAATTATGCAAAAGACTGAAGAAATAAGGCAGATTGGTTTTATAGGTGCATTTAACTTTGCAAGTAATATGGATTGATCGACATTATTTATTCCGTGTAACAACCATACATCTGGTTGATATTATTCTTATTTCCCAGTCCTTTCACCCTTACTACACCAATCGACTGTAGGCCTATTATTAGGCGACTAAAACTGCAAAGGTCTGGTCGCCCGAAAAGTGCCAGTTTGCGGAGGGCCAACTACCCAACCCAGTAAAAAACAGTAAGTTACAGAAACACAGACAAACACAGCTTTTTATTTTTCAATCTTGTGAGACGGAGGAGCTTCTGCATCAGCAGGAACAATGAAGGACAGCGGACAAAGTCGAAAAGACTCTTCCTACCCAAAACTTTCTCTGTCGAACAAGTCTCTCCGGATTGCGTCGTGGAATGTTCGCACCTTGTATGAAGCAGGAAAAAGTTCTCAAGTAGTACAAGAGATGAAGAGATACAGGCTGCACATACTAGGAGTCAGCGAAACACACCGGATACTGTCTGGACAGAAGCAGTTCAGCTCGGGGGAACAAGTATTGTATTCTGGGAGGGCAGACAAGTACCATGCGGAAGGAGTGGGAATCATTTTGAGTAAGTTAGCACAGAGTCACTTAGCGGATGGGAACAACCCGGGGAAAGGATCATCATGGCTTCATTCACTACAAGGAGCAAGAGCATAACAAAGAAAATTTTGGATTGGAACCCACAGGGTAAGAGATCAAGGGGAAGACCACGTGGAACCTGGAGAAGAATCACAGAAATCGATGTACAGAAAAGTGGGAAGACATGGAATAACATCAAGAGGCTAGCAGGATAGAGAAAGGTGGAAGGTGTTTGTCCGTGGCTTATACCCTGGTGCAGGGTGAGAAAGGCAGTGATGATGATGATGATTGAAACCTAAGCGCGTCAAACCCAACATGTCGATGGGCTTAACCTTTCACATGAAAACTATAAACGCGTAAGTCTTGACAATCTCACAAATCAACAAGAAGCTTACCGAATGATGGACGAATTTGTAAGCTCTTTAAATGCTGATGTCACAATGCTTCACTCAAAACAAAGATTTATCTAAATAAACAGATACTAATTTCGAAAAGTATCTTATACATCTTAATATTGATGAAAGAAATGGCACAACTCACCTGTAGGCTGTTACTTAAATCAAAAAATGAAACAAAATCATTGTTAAGAATGAAAATGCCTGGCTGGGACTTCTGCGTTTAGAGTTTCAAATCGAGGTGAAATCCTGTTACGTGCGCTTAGAATCCGTGACAAAAAGTGCTATTTTCATTGGTTCAATGGCTTTAATATTTAAAGAGGAGGTGGGGGAAACCCATTGTAATGAAACAAAACCAAAATATTTTTTTCCAAAATTCCGGACTTTCGCGTATAGAGACTTACAGGCACATTGTGCTTCTCAACTCTGTAGGGGTGGGTGGTTGGCGGGTGCTCTGGTGTGGTTTGCTCCTTCTTTCCTATCAAGCATCTATCATCCTTATCTCTCCTCCTTTTTTGTGTATGTTACTCTCTTGTAACACATCTATATTTTGGAATTTATATGACCTTATTGTGTTGCAAGTGCCATAAAACTTTTACTAAAACGAAACTAAAACACTAAGGCAAGATATTTTCCCCTCTTCTTCGTGCGCAGTTGCTGGGGGGTGGCCCGACCATGGCAGCGTGGCATCTCAAGACCTTGACCCCGGCAGTGACCTTTGACACTCCAGGGGTGGCCCAGAATGTGGCCATGTTCCATGAGGATAAGGTGAGGTTCTGATTGGCTGTGACCTGTAGCGGTGGTATAGTTTTACAAGTGAGTGTCCTGCTGTGTTGGTGGCTGGAGTGTGTTACTTCACTGCCTCAGAATTACAAAGTTTTATCTGACATTTGTGGCTGTTTTGAGTTGAGATAAAAAACCAAATGCTCTATCTACTCTATGAAAATTGAAGAGTCGTTATAAAGATATTGAAAGAATAGCGTTCGAAAAAACTTGACTTGATGTGAAGCTCAAAATCTTTGACGTCAAATTTTTCAGAACTAGGTACAGTAGCCTACTGAGCAGATAAAACCTTGTAATTCTGAGGTAGCAACTTGTAGCTGAAGATGAAATAAACGGTAAAAGCCTCTTTACTGATCTCCAAAGTAAAATTTGTTTTTTTTATGATGAGTGCAGTACATACGTACAATAATTCATCAGAATGGCAGTCATTTTCCTCTACTCACTACTGCCAGTATTTTCTGGCACTCACTGTCCTAAGACACATGTGTCATCATCACATGACATAAAAATGTGTTTCAGTACCTACAGCAGTTACACTGTGCTCCTGAGCAATACATTTCTAATATTCATATGATCGTCAGAATCACATCCCATATCCCATTCAGGGTAGTCCTTGTCAATATCAGCATCTGGTTCATTATGATCCCCCCCAAAAATCGATAACGTTCTTTGTAGTAAACAAGGTTTTTCGTGTTTGTTTTGTCCGAGACGGGTTGCGTTTAGGATAGGGTCTCGTTCACCTGTGTACCGGTGGCTAGGCATACGGGCAGTTTTACACGCCACCAGTGCTATAGCGGCTAGGGCTCAAAGAGTTAAATAAGAACCCAATGTGACTGCTTTTCCATAGCAATCAACTGAAAAAAAAAGCAATCATTTGAAAAAAAGAATGTGCCCATCTTTGTATGGCTAGAAAGTATTTGATTGTGACTTTTATCTCGTCTTGCCCTCAGATCTTCTCGGCTGGTACCAGCAATGTGTTCAACCACTGGACCATCACAGGCGACCACCCAATGGCTGTGCCCGTCAGCCCCAGCTCCGTATACAGCCTTGACATCAACACAGCATCTACGGCCAACCAGGTCAGAATACACATATATATGAGTCTCGTTCTTCTCCTTAGGTTGCTGTTTCGTCTTTTTCTTCTCTTTAGTTTTTCTTTTTTTAAAATAAATCCTTATAAGAGGCAAAGGGTTTTATTTTAGACTGGGCTGGGCTGTTTGGACACCCAAGGGCAAAGGCTCTGTTCTCAACATTCATATACTCACAATATGAAGGAAATGGCTAGGTTTAATAACACCTAAAATCCCTTTGAAAGAAAAGAGTTTGCATAGTCAGAATCAGCTGATTTTATGTTGTATGTCATGAGGTCACCCAGTGACTTGATTTTTTCACTGTGCCTGGTATGTCACATGTTGCAAAAGGGTTAGTCGTTACTGCTCTCTTCCTTCTCCTCCTTCTTTCTCTTCTTCTCATCTTGTTTTTTCTCAAATGAGTTGCTATGGAATGCACATCATCAGGGTTTACTGATATCCAAGAGATCTTTAAGTTGAAGGAAGCTGAAAGCAAAAACTTATTCTGGAATATTTAGGCAACCATTAGTTAAAGTTTTATCTTACCTCTTTTTAGAATGAAAGAATGTGGTGATATCATTTACATGAAAGAACAAAAGTAGAGACAAATGATAGTGTGAGTTTATTCATGTAGTTGTTAGTGTATAAATGTGCATGTCTCTGTGTGTGTGTGAGTGTGTAATTTGTATGTGAGTGTTTGTCCAAATGAGATATATTTTCTGTTTTGATATCTGTGCACAATACCTTGGACTAACATGATAGCGAGTGGACTTTTTTGTAGTTAAAAAAAATAAATTATTATTAGGCTTATTATTGTTGTTTCTGTTGTGTTGTTTGTGTTGTTGTTGTTTCTGTTGTTGTTGTTTCTGTAATAATTATCTTTATATTGTTGTTTTCTACTTTGTTTTAAAATACTGTTCTTTTTATCGTAATTCTCTTTGTGTTTTCTTTGTCCTCGGCAGGTGATGGTGGTGGCGGGCAGCAGCAGTCAGATGGACGTGTGCACAAACTTTGGCTACACCGCATTCTCTCTGTCGTTTGTGCCAGCCTTTAGCTGAGTCCACACACATAGTTGATTGTTGTTTATCATTGTCACTTTCTGCAAAATGCCACATGTTATTATACCATTGTATTGTTCATTTCTTTTGTACTGAGCATTGATTCTAATGGAAATACATGTCATGTATACGTTTTTTTGTTTCTTATTTTTCTTTCATTTACATTTCTGTGTCCCAATGTTGTGATTGTTAGAAGTCCTGAAATGAAATATGTCTGGTGTAATCGAAAACTTTTCTGGTCAAGTGTAATTTTGATTTGCTTCTTACTAGACAAAAGGCTCATCAGTTTAATAAATGGAGTGCTTGTTCTCCCTTGGGGTCAAAAGGCTTATTGGAAATATTCCAGGAGCCATAACAGAAAAACAAGATCAGGCCCCACTTTTCATCCTCCTCTCTAATGGCTATTTTTAAAATTTGAAGATGGATGTTGACATCATAATCTCCCTCTCTTTTCAAAATGTAACCATAGTGCATTGAAAAGGATGTTGAACCTACCGTACTGTCCAGTACCATACACACCATACCCCACCACTCCACACCCACCGCACCGCACCACTCCACACCACACCCACCGCACCGCACCACAGAGCTCCACACAACACCACAGCATTATAATGAGAAAATAACAACCAGAAATGTCTGTCAGCTGTAAGAGAAAGAAATTTTCTGCCCGAATTGCTCAGACACAAATAAAGTTGATGAAGATGAACCTCTTGCTACTCCAACAAGACACAGAGCTAAAATGATTGTTTCTTTGGGGAAGACAACAATGCATACTTCCCTTGGAAACAAACTTCTTCAAGTTGGTCTCCAGTAAATGGACAGTACTTAGCTCTTTGAACCCCATTGGACGCTGGGAGTGTCCAGTACTAGTGACATCTGTTTCGTTTTATTTAGTACTAGTTTTTGCTTGTTTTTCGGAACTATTCCCGAACCAAGTCTTTTAGTAATGACTAAGCCTTTGTTTCTGCTATTTAGAAGTTGGAGGCAAGCTTTTGGGGTTATAATGAGACAGTGCACTAGGTTTAGGTGACTGTAGAAATGGTCAATTCACAGATAATAATATTTCACAATACAAGCAAATCAGTCCATATATTCGTTCAACAAAGTCATCAGATTCAAAATGGAACAGGCTGTTCTGTCCCCTATTTAGTCCATATTTCTAAGTCTGTCTTTTCAATGGAAAGAGAAGATTTGCCTATGGTGAGCTAAATTCTCTAACACACTGGTGCTTTATGACACTCTACTTACCTACCGTGTGTGACTTTAAGTTTTTTTTTATACACACTGATATCAATGTCTCGCTAATGTCGAATGAGGGACAAAAGTCGATAAAAATAACTGGTAAAAAACTCTGTAATATCATGTTTAAGATGATGTGCACACAAACCATAATATGCGTACTGGGAATTTACACGCATGTGTGACAACTGCTTCCTTTAGCCTGGGTCATAACTAGCAATTGAATTCCAATACATCTTTTTTGTACATCTGTCTTTTTCAGTCTGTGGTGAGGCCGGGTAAAAAAAATACATGTTTCTACGTGTCTGTGGAAACATTAATTGGTCTCTGTTACAAGCGTAACATTTTTTTGATGATTGTAATATATTTAATGCTCCCATTGACCCAATTTAGTCTATTTAGTAGGAGACGGACTACTTAGACTTAGATCCTGCTTGTAAGAACTGATCCTGACTGAATGAAATACAACACCTGCCAGCAGTCGAGGATACTTAGTTCTCTACGCAGTCTTTACAGAGTCCCTTATTGCAAAAATCAGATTTTCTTGAATGGAAAGCGGCAGTGGGGTGAACATGATGGAGAGATAGATTGGGGGAGGGGCGATGGAGAGGGAGAGAGATTTGAGGAGGGGAGGGGATCGGTGGAGAGGAAGAGAGAGGTTTGGGATGGGGGGGGATGGAGAAGAAGAGGGGGAGGGGGTAACAGGCAGAAAGCGGGGGTGTCTTCTGGAGAGAGAGAGAGAGAGAGAGAGAGAGAGAGAGAGAGAGGGAGAGAGAGAGGGAGAGAGAGAGAGAGTAAAGGGATGGGGTGTTCCGGAGAGAATGAGCCGGGATCGAGAGAGAAGACTAAGGGAGGGAAAGACATAATATGGAATAATGGTAGGACAAAAATAAAACGACTGACAGGAAAGTAAAGTAAGATAAGGAAAGTACAACAGTATGTTACACTACACAACACGCATCATGTTACGTGGAAAGGACCATTGAACTCTCTCTCTCTCTCTCTCTCTCTCTCTCTCTCTCTCTCTCTCTCTCTCTCTTCCTCTCTTTCTCTTTGATAGCCTCTCTTTCCAGTCTCGTTTTCTCTTTCTCCGCCTCTTTTTCTACCTTATTTCTCGCCCTTTCTCTCTTCCTGTCTCCTACAGCTGCTTTCTTTTCCCTTTCATTTCGTCCCTTGGTGTCGGATCCGGTCGAGTAAAGATGCTTTTCCTTGACATTCGTAAGGACAACGGCCCCCTGTTGAAAAAAGAGGAACCGACTTTCGTCAACATTGAAGATGTTCAGTGGTGGAACTTTCTTGATGTCAACCACCTCCCCGTCCTGAGTTGTTCTCATCTCCCAAAACCATTCTTAAATTTTTTCGGCTGACACCTTCACCGTCTCCTCTCTAGAATCATGGTCTTTTTTTGGCTGGATGTTGGGGTGACGTGCTTGGAAGCTATAGAGCCACTTGCTTCCCGGCTTGTTGTCCTTGAAGGGTGGGTCTTGCCCCTCCGAATTCAGAATTCTCCGGATGGCAGGACACATGTCTTCCCTTCCTTGCCCATAGCCGCGAGCACCACTTTCTACAATCCACCGTACCACCGTCTCCTCCTCTTTTTTAGGTAGTACCGTAGGGTTTTTGGGCTGCACAGGGTAAAACGTGGGAGGTTGCTTCCCTCTGATACATTGCCCCAGTCTGGCAGGCATTTACAGCCGCCTCCATGTCTTCTTGGATGCATTGTTTCCGCTTCTGTTTTTGTTCCATTTTTCTGGGAGAGGAGGGAAGTTAAAATTTGATTAAGGTTTTACGGCGCTTGCAACTGCATTAGGTCACGGGGTGGATGTCAACAGAAAAGTCCAAACGGGTAATCAGGTTACTTAGCTCACCTCTCTAGTCTCAACAGCATAAAGTCTTCTTCGACTACCAAGGCACCTCGGAAGTAACGGTTCACAAGAGAGTGACATACATACAAAAGAAGAGGAGGAAAAATGATGACAGTAAGGACGAGGGAAAAAGCAGCAGTTCCCCCTATGTTGTTCAGACATAGTATGAACATTGCATAATGTTAAATCTAGTAAACTTGTAACAGCAGACTTGAACTTCAATCAGGAACACAGGAGTCTCGTCTTGGGTCGAACGCCGAGAAGACAGCTTGGAGAGAAATTGTTGTTCGTGTACGTCTCACGTTACGATAAGATAAGTCTACGTCCGCTCAGTGTCTAAAGTTTGCACACGTTTCGCTTATCGTCTCGACTTTCTCCATCCGGAGTTGGTCAATTTTTTTTTGCACGCTCTCAATTTCTATCCTCATTACTTGCTATTCCTGAGAAATTTCAAAGTGCATAATAATATGTCCATATCACGGCTGGTGAAGTGCATGTCGAGGGCAAAGTTGATCCCCATGTCGTCTCCACATCGGGCCGTCCGGTAGCACACGGACCTCGTGGAGTTTGTGACCCAGGAAGGCGGTCGCCACAGCTGGCTTCCATCTGTCCCTACGCCCACCTTCGTAGGAAAGCGCGAAGCATGGGCTGTCTTTGCTGAGACGACGAGCAGGCACTGGCTCATCCCGAACTCGGGGTGTAGTCTGCCTCTGCGCTGAGATGATGACGTCGAGCTTCGTACGGATCTGACGTCCATCCAGGAGCTCACTGGAACGGCTACCACTGGCCAGCGGTGTACGGCGGTAGTGCATGAGAAACTCCTGAAGGGTGTGGGCGGGAGGCAAGTCAGACTTCTTGAGAAACTGCTTAAAAGTCTGGACCAGTCCAGGGTTGGGTTGATTTAAATCAGGTCGATTTAAATCAGTTGACTTAAAAAAAATTTAAATCAACTTGATTTTAAAAATAAAAACCAGTGATTTAAATCACTTTAAAAAAATTATTTTTATTCAGTTTTTACATATTTCAGCTTTCAGAATTCCTTTCCTTGGTTTCATAAAACAGATAAAAGGTTTAGTAGACTAATATAATCATGCTTAAAAGTCTGCTTTCTCCCCTTTCACTGTAAAATAATACAGTATTCAATTTACTTTCCCCCCATAATTGAAATCAAAGCTGTGTTGATTTAAATCAGTTGGTTTTTTAATATTTTAATCAACTTGATTTTAAAAATAAAAATCAGTGATTTAAATCACTTTTTAAAAAATGTATTCAGTTTTTACATATTTAAACGTTCAGAATTCCTTTCCTTGGTTTTATTAAACAGACATAAGGTTTAGTAGAATAATATAATCATGCTTAAAAGTCTGCTCCCCCCCCCCCCTGTCAAATATTCAATTTACTTTTTTTTTCATAATTGAAAACCAGGGTTGGGTTGATTTAAATCAGGTCGATTTAAATCAGTTGATTTTTAAAATTTAAATCAACTTGATTTAAAAAATAATACTCAGTGATTTAAATCACTTTAAAAAAATGTATTCTGTTTTTACGTCTTTAAACATTCAGAATTCCTTTCCTTGGTTTTATAAAACAGATATAAGGTTTAGTAGACTAAAATAATCATGCTTAAAAGTCTGCTTCACCCCCCCCCCCCCTGGTCACTGTAAGTAGTAAAATGATACAGCATTCAATTTACTTTTTTTCATAATTGAAATTAGCATTTTCTTTTTCTCTTTAGACAAACACATGCGCGCGCGCGCGCGCACACACACACACACACACACACACACACACACACACACACACACACACACACACACACACACACACACACACACACACACACACACTGTAATAAAATGCAAGTTTATCTATGCATAATTACCCCCCCCCTTTCCTTTTACTTTTAGACTGACATTTTCTTAATTTTTTGTCTGTATCCATAATTCACTGATATAGCAGATTAAGGCTTTCTTTTGCAGTTGCTTAAATTAATCATTAGTTAAAATAAAGACAATGCATTTTGCACTAAAAGAACACACTTTTAGCCACCAAAAATCCCAAGCTGTGTCGACATAAAAAAAAATCCGATTAAAATTTAAAAAAATCTGATTTCAATTTTAAGTCCAGTCTCCGGGTGGTTGCCTTGGTTGTTATCGAGGACATGAGGTAGATGCAGGGATACTTGGAGAATGCGTCCACCATGACCAGCCAGTTGTGACCTCTGAAGTTGATGGCGTGGTCAATATGGACGCAGCTCCAAGGTTCGTCGGGGATGATCCTTGGGTGAGACGGCTTAGGGGGCAGCCTCTGGTGCTCGTTGCAAGCTGTGCAGTGTCGAGCGACGTTTTCGATATCGGCATCAATGCTTGGCCAGTAGACAGCAGTGCGGGCTAACTGCTCTATTCTCTGCATGCCGAAATGCCCCAGGTGCAGGATCTGGAGGACCTGGGATTGCATAGTCTTTGGTATCACCACTCTGTGACTGTGGAAAATGCAGCCATTCGCCAGAGACAAAGAGTCTCGAAGAACGTAGAACGGTTTCAATTGGTCACTGAAGTTCTTGGGCCAGTTGCCTTGCAGATGCTGGATCACCTTGGTGTGAGCAGGGTCTTTGGACGTTTCTCTCTCTAAAACGTTCGGGTCTGCAGGTGCGATTTGGCTGCTGATACGTTTTATGGTGCAGATAGTAGCAGAGTCTGCACCAGTCTCCTCCCGGTCAAAGGATGGATCCGCTCCTACTGGCAATCTTCTCAGGGCGTCTGCATTGCCGTGCGCTGATGCCTTGCGATACTCTATGGAGTAGTCGTATTGGCTCAGAGTGAGAACCCATCTGGCAAGTCCATTTGCTGACAGAGATGGAATTGGCTTCGTTGGTCCGAAGAGGACAATCAGCGGCTTGTGATCTGTCACCAGGATGAAACGTCGTCCGTAGAGGAACTGGTGAAACTTGTTGAGACCGAAGATGATAGCCAGGGCCTCCATCTGGATTTGGCCGTATCTTCTCTGAAGGACCAGGCAACTCATCGTCAATAAAAACAAATATTAAGAAATAACAACCCCCCCCCCAAAACAACAACAACAACAACAAACAAACCGCACTCCCCTCGCTTCTTCAAAGCCACCAACTCTCTAAATTCAGTTATCAAAACTTTCTACACGTATTGCACAAGCAAACTTTAACACAGTTGTTTCCCCTGGCACAGGCAGCAGAAAGTAATGATAACTGAACTGGAGTCAATTCAGAGTAGCGGGTTTCACTGGTTTCAGCGGTATAGGACTCTCGGGCGGCAGCGAATAGTAGCGGTATATATAATATATTATAGCCTAGAAGTCTAGATATCTATAGGACGCTAAACGTTAAAGTCTCCCTTTTTTGCAGATCTCAAAATATTGGGTATCAATATCTTTCAGGGCACTTTCATTTGCTCTTTAAAAAAGTCCATTTGACCCAAAGCAGTCTTCTACTAAATCAAATTTCTAACCATGAACTTAAGACACACTAGCCAAAACCGTTTAGCTATTTCAAAAAAAAAATTGTTCTAGGCATTGCTTTGAGCAGAGACAGGCAGAATTTAAAAACATTATCATACTCAATGACATAGAGTATAATTTCCCATCTTTTGTGGGGCATTAAAGGTTCACGCCCTACAAGACACACGAGTCACCTTGAATACAGAATACTAGACCCGGTTGGTTGGAGTAAAAAGAAGGAACGAGGAATTATATATTATTCACAATGTTCTAACATTATAAGGTATCTTCATGGCTTCAGTGGAGTTGTCGATTCAAACGGAAGTTTGGATTTCAGACTCACGTAGTGTGTATAGTGTACAGAGCATAGAGTTTGCTGTTGAGCGGGTATTGTTGTTGTTGTTATTGTTGTTGTTGTTGTTGCTGTTGTTGTTGTTGCTGCTGCTGCTGCTGCTTCTTCTTCTTCTTCTTGTCGTCGTCGTCGTCGTCGTCGTCGTCGTCGTTGTTGTTATTATTATTGTTGTTGTTGTTATTATTATTATTATTATTAATATTATTATTACTATATTATTTTAAAGGTCCATACTATTATCCGTCAGACGTCCGCCCAGAAACATTTTTCCTCTCAGCCCGTAAATGATAGGCGTCTGTGGTATGGCGGTTAGGCGCTTCGTCGTATTAGGCAGAAGACATGAATTTTATGCCTCTATGGGGAGAATTTTAATCGAGTATCTCCGTCTTTTTGTTGGAAAGTTGTATCCTGCTCAATCGGGATTGGCTCTCGATCACAGACAGAAATGGTCGAAGCAGCCCGCCTTCTAAATCATCTAAACAATGTTGATGTGGGTGTAAAACACCTTCCGTAACAACATTTCCCCATCAGCCTAGTTCCCAGACGGGGCACCGAGTCCTCAGCCACTCGTGGATAATAAATGATTATGAATAAATGTATACAGTGGGGTCCACTTATAACGAGTCCGGAAAGAACGAGAAGTCTGTTACAAAGACACTATTGTAAAACCCCGGGTTTTTTCTTCTTTTTTATCGTTGTAAATAAAATACTGCTATAGCGCAGTCAGACAAACACGCGAGTCGGTTATAGCGGGATATTCCTACTGCTGTGCACAGCGTATAGGCCAATTATACATAATGTAAAACCTCGCCAGTTGAGAAACTTGTTGGTAAACAAGCGAAACAAAGAATGGGAGAGCCCATGTGTGTCAACAATGAAGGCCGGAGCGACTGAGTAGGTAGGGTATAACATGCGCAGACAAGCCCAACGCATTGTGTGATAGGCCAGAGTAGGGCCTAAGCCTAGTTTAGATTATCAAGGACTACCATGTTTCTCACTTCTCCGATGGAGGGGTCACAGTTATTTGATGGATGGGGCGAATGTGTGACGTGCGCAAGCTGACGGAATGCACCACAGGGTGTGGTGGGGTGGGGGAAAAACAGCGTGCGAGTTAGCCCAGAGCCCTTTTTTTCTGATCGCCAACGCCGAGCTGCCAGTCAACATCGCTAGATCTAGCGCTAGAGAAAGAAATCTGATTCGATTTTTGATCAAGTAAGACCTAGAGGTCATGTTGAAACAAAATCATCATCAGGGGAGATAGCAAAAGGAAATATACAGAACACCAAACTCATAGATTAAGCCTACTTTACAGTTTCCCTTAAATTTATTACTGGATCCCTTATTTCGAGAATCCTGTTATAACGGACATTTTGCTCCGGTCCCCTCCCTCTCGCTATAACAGGATTCCACTGTATAATAAATAGATAGGCCTAAAATGTACACAACTTATAAAGTTAACTTTTCCTTAATAGTATAATAAGAAATAAGAACAAATGGTGCTATATTTTACATGAACCGAAAGCACAAGCGGTGTTCTACACTGTGTAAATCTTAAGAAGCAGCAGCTCTGTAGTTGAAGGGTCACGAGATTTGTGATTATTTCCATAAGTGATGTGTCGTCTGCCGGAGATAATGTTCTGTTGACACGTCACACACCTCGGGCAGACTGGCTGTCCGTGGCAGGCGGCGACCGGAACCAGGCTTGTTGCAATGTCGGACTGACGGGGGCGGTAGGGGGAGTCGTGCTTGTTACTTCCGGGTTCATGGTGAGAATGGAGGTGTTCATGGCGTGGGGTGTCGGCTTTACTTTACTTTACTTTACATTCACTTTACTTTACTTTACTTTACTTTACTTTACTTTACTTTACTTTACTTTACTTTACCTTTTTCACGGCCTCTGTTACCTTACGGTGTCGAGTGTAGAAGCAGACGTCTTTTCTCGTGTTGCCTTTTCTCGTAGTTGTATCGCATGCTGCATGGTTATGCTGTTTTCGTCAAACGTTTCCCTGGCTCCGTCTGTATTCCTATCCATCTTTTTCTGGGCCTGCCTCTTCCTCAGTACATGTACGTGTATCAGTAGGTGGTTGTCGGGTGTTCTTGTGTGGTTAGCTCCTCCTTTCCTATTAAACATCAATCGTCTTAATCTCCCTTTTTGTGCTTGCTACTCTCTCGTTACATATCTAATCTTCGGCACTCGTATCACCTAAATGTGTTGCAAGTGCCGTAAAACGCTTACAAAGATAAATATCGGCATCCGTCTGAACTCTGGTTGTTGTATGTTCTCGCCTCTATAATATTGTCTGGTGGTTGTCGTGACAGATGCCCAGAGAGAGTTGGAAAAAAATTGTGAAAAAAGATACATTACCACGAGGGACGTTGGAGAGTGAGTGCGCGCGCGTGCGCGCGCGTGTGTGTGTGTGTGTGTGTGTGTTTGTGTGTGTGTGTGTGTGTGTGTGAGAGAGAGAGAGAGAGAGAGAGAGAGAGAGAGGCAG